CCATCTCTCGCTCCCCCCATCCACCCAACCCATTCATCTATCCCTGCCCACCCATCCCCCCCCATCCAACTTACCATCCATCCACCACCCGCATCCATCCACTGGACCATCTCTACCCAGCCGTCCACTCAGTCACTCCCCACCCAGCTATAGGTCTATTCTGACCAAGGCCACGAAACAATGAACAAAGCCTGAATTCCCAACAGCCTTGTAAATATGTAGTTAGTAGATAAGGGAACAGCAGGCGGATGGCGAACGTGTGACCAGAGATTGGCTCCCAGGAACTAAGGAGCCGATCACAGAGTGTGTGTGCGGATGTAGAACAGAGAGCGCGGGCGGCGTCTGTGTGAGGACGTGTTTAGCAGCTGGTGAATGTGTTTGTATTTTGGGTGCATGGTTCATCCTGGACCCACCCCCTGCACCTGTGAGCCTCAGTAGCGCAGCGTCGGGCCCCTGGGTGCCAGGAGAGAAACCTCCGTGATGAGCTTGGCGTTGAGCTGAGTTCTTGGGAACTGAGTGGATAAGGTCCCAACATCATCCACCCAACCATCCCTGTCTGCTCACCCACCCATCCAGGTGTCCACCCACCCTTTAGCCCATCCATCCATCTACCCATCCATCCCTGCCCCCACAATTCCCCACCATCCAGCTGTCTATCCACCCACCCTTACCCTAACCCATCCCTCCACCCAACTACCCATCCATCCACCCATTCCTATCCATCCGTCCAGCCACCCAACCAGCCATCCCCCTCCCCACCTCAACCCGCCCCTTAATCCTTCTGTCCAAGCACCCAACAATCCATCCTCCCCACCCACCCATCCCTTACCACCCACCCATGTATGCACCCACCCAACCCCATCCACCTATCCACTAATCCTTCCACCCAACAACCCATTCCCCATCCATCCATCCGACCACCCAACCATCCATCCCTGCCCCCACCCCCACATCCAACCATCCACCTACCCAGCCATCCATCCTGTCCCCCACCCATCCCCCTACCCACCCAACCAGATACTCCGGGATGAATGCAGTATAAAAACATCTATGGAATAGAATTAGATCCTAGATGTGTCGGGCTGGAAGGGACCTCGGAAGGTCACCAAATCCAGCCCCCTGAGCAGAGGCAGGACTAAGTCAATCTAATCTATCCCTGACGGGTTTGTCCAACTTCTTCTTAAAACCTTCCAATGACGGGGTCCCACAGCCCCCTTGGAAGCCAATTCTGGAGCTGAGCGACCCTGAGAGTTAGAAAGTTTCTCCCAATATCTAACCTCCATCCCACTGGCTGTAGATTCAGCCCTTTACGTCTCGTCCTTCTCTCAGCGGACACGGAGAACAATTGACCAGTGTCCTCTTTAGAACAGCCCGTGAGGTAGCTAAAGACTGTTCTCAGGTCCCCCCTCAGTCTCCTTCTCTCCAGACCAAACGTGCCCCGTTTCTTTTAACCGTCCCTCCTAGGTCGGGTTTTCTAAACCTTCGATCCTTTTGGTTGCTCTGCTCTGGACTCTCCCCAATTTGTTCACAACTTTTCTAATGCGGGAGGCGCCCAGAGCCGGACACAGTCCTCCCCACCAGGGCCCCCCCAGTGCCGACCGGGGCGGGACCACGACTTCCTGTGTCTCACATGCGACCCCCCCGTTAACACACCCAGAATGAGATTAGCCTTCCCCCCCGCCGCGTCCCGTTGTAGAGTCCTATTCCACTCGGGATCCGCTCAAACCCCCAGATCCTTTTCAGCCGTGCGACCGCCTAGTCCCCACTTTGTAGCTACGCGTTTGATTCCACCCCACCTTCCTCGGCGTCGTATGCTGCACGTCTCCTTCTCGGATGTGGCCTGGTTGAGTTCAGAGCCACTCTTCCCCTAGCCGGCTTGGGAGGATATCAGGTGGGCTGGTGTCAAAAAAGGACTACACCCCCTCCCCCCCCCGGCCCCCACTCCCCCCCCCACCCACACACACACTCACTGGGGCAGATCTTGTTGGTGTCACAGGGCATTGTGTCCGAGTCGGGGCCAGGGCAGGAGCCCCCGCAGATGGGCGCCGGCTCGGTGCATCTTCGGACGCGCTTCCTCACCCCCTCGGCGCACGTCACGGAGCAGGAGCTCCAGGGGCCCCAGGCCGACCAGCCCCCCATCACTGCGGGGGGTGGGGGAGGGTGTCAGCACCGGATTGGGGTGGGGGTGGGGACCTGAGGCAGCTCCCTCCCCATTCCAGAGATCCCCTCCCCACCTGAGACCACCCATCCACCTGCCCTTCCCATGAGATCCCCTCCCCCTACACACCCCTCCCCAGAGACCCCTCCTGCCCCCCACCCACCCCTCAGAGCCCAGCTCCAATAGGGGGTGACAACCCCTCCCCCTCCCCTGTCACCCCTCGTCCCAGCCCCCCATCACTGCCATGGGCCTCTCTGCAGCTCGAGCAGCTGGGAACAGGAAGTTTCCATTTCCAGCTGTGGGGGGGGAGATCCGGGGGGTGGGGCGGGGGGGAACCAGCACCCATAGGAGGGAAGTGAAAGTGCTGAATCCGCGTGAGAGAGGGAGAAGTCTGGGGAAATCCCAGCTATGCCAGCCCCAGCCTCTCCCACCAGGGGGTGCTGTGGAGCAGAGAGGGCCACTCGCCCTAGGGGGGCGCTGTGGGGTGCACGGCTGGGTGATGTGGGGTGCTGTCTGCATGGGGTGGAGGTCTCCAGCAGGGGGCACTGTGGGGCACAGGGGGCACTGGCCGTGGGGGATGCTGTGGAGCACTGGTCCTGGGGGGCTCTGTGGGGCACAGGAGGTCACTAGCCCTGGGGGGGTCACTGTGGGGTACGGGGGGCACTGGCCGTGGGGGGAGCTGTGGGGCATTGCAGGAGGGGGGCTCAGTGGGGCACAGGGGGTCACTGGCTGTGGGGGGCACTGTGGGGCACAGGGGGTACTAGCTGTGGGGGGCGCTGTGGGGCACTGGCCCT